TTTAATATTGTAGTATTATTATAAGTTACAATATTTCAATTAATACTTTACGGCAGAATTTAATTGACAGTACGTTAGTACAAAGTATAAATAATGTAAAGTTTTATACTAGTACAGTAATATTGGTTACGATAAATTCACGACAATAATATTTTTATTACAATTATAATTTTAAGTTCCATTAAACTTAATGTTTAATAATTGACTTATTTTATTACCTAATTAGGCACATAATAAAAACAAATTTTAATTTTAAACAAATAAATTTTAATTAGAATAATATTCATTTAGTAAATAAATTAATGTACTGTAGAATCTACTGTAAAATTAATACAAGATAGTGAAATGTTTTTTTGCTATGATGTTGTGCAACAAATAACATTTCATTCACAATCTTTATATCGATTTTAATGCTTGGATACATATGATAAAATTTTACCATTTTACCATAACACTTTACCATTACCTTAGTAGAGTAGTAACATTCTTATAATATAAGTACTGTATTTCAATATTACAGTATAATATCTTTAAGTATGTCTGGTCCAACAAATCCTATGTTGTTTTTATTTTTAATTTTGATTAATGCCAAAATCATATGATCACTTTAATCTAAATTTTCCTAAATAAATATTCACTGATATATAGTTTAAATTTAATATAAATTTTTAACTAATATATCTATTATATAGAGTTCTAACACTTACAACATTTTTGTAAATCTATTATTTCTCTTTTCCATTCAGACTAATAGTATTAAGTGAGTAAACATTATGTAACATCACTTTTATTTCATTGTTTATGAGTATATTGTTTTATATCATTTTGTCGACGCATTATTTTATTAATAATAATAACTGTGTCGGACGACCACCAGTGCCAATATGGAACAGGAGGGCCCCAGAATTAAATTCAACAAAGAATTCAGTGAATTCATTAAAGACATTGATTTGAGTGAGACCTTCTTGCAATTGCTTGAAAAGCATCCATGTGCATATATGCTACCAGATATTCAAGTATAATATTGTATTTTACACTCACTTTTTGTTAAATTATCCAGTTCGTAAATTTAATTTAATTTGTTTTTCAAGAATTTTGACACCGATTCTGAGCGCAAAATCAGAATATTCTCGGAGTTCACCCGTGAAAGGGAGCACTGCAATGTGCTCGCTAATATGCTACAACAATCGGGTCAGGTATGCGCGGCCGACCAGTTGAGGACATTCAACAAATCCGAAACAGTCATCGACTACACCGATGAGGTAGAGCTGAGTGTCACACCGGCCATCACATTGAGGTCGGGAACTTCACGTTGCTATACCATGGACTCCATCCCCAGGGGAATGGCTCTCTTATTCATCACAGTCGACGAACTCATGAAAGAGGGCAAGAGATTTGAGTGCATTTTCAATCAGTTGTACTTCAATGTGACCATTCATGTCAATAAGACGTGTCAACAGATATCTGAAATACTGGATAAGGCAGTGGATGCTGAACACAACGACACCTTTATTATGATGTTTATGGGCCACGGATTTGATGAGAAGATCCAGGGGTGGGGCAGACATGAAGGCGATGATATGTTTATCAGGGATATTGTCGACAA